TTTTTTAAGATTCGTTTAGTCGTTAGCAGGTTTTCGCTAAAATCAAAGATTTACATCCATCACATTTGCATTCAAATATTTATAAATACTAGTCAAATTAAAAAAAAAAAGAAAAAAAAAAAAGAAAAAAAAAACCACTCCTGTAGCTTGAGAACAGACTTTTCCTAAAAGTCAGTGGTTTTGTGTTAACGTTCACTCGAGAAATCCGGCAAAAAGAGAGTGGAGGGAATGCGGACAGTGCGGAATGAACTGAGATTTTGGGTGCCAACACAACTGAGACATAATTCATCTCGTAGCGCTAATGAAAAATCGTAGCTGTGAGGGTGGGAGGGGCAAGCTATTGCTGCCGCTAACCAGAAGCTTATTCAGTGTTCGGCGGAGAGAAGCCATATTCATCGTCATCCATAACCAGAGGGGAGCTCGTATTCACCATCCGGAACTGCCATTATTTGCCACTTTCCCAGATTTTTTTTTTTTGAAGCAAATTTTGGATGCAACAGCCAGTATTATCGTTCGCTATTTTAAATCAGTTATGCAAAACCTCGCGTTGGGAACGTTTTTACAGGCATGTTTAGGTATGCCATGATTAGCAACTGCTTCCTGCCCTCTCTTCACTCTCGATCCCTCAACCTCCTCCTGATGGCCGTCCTTCGCGCCTCTTCTGATCCCCTCTTACAGCGTGCTTTATGGAGCCAGCTGCGAAATGATGCATATCGGATTAAGCGATTAGTCTGCTACCATTTTCTGTATTAGACCCAAAAAAAAGACCAGAAAAGTGGTCGACGACGCATAGCATTTACAAATTCTCATTTCCGTTTTTCTCTCCGTCCCGTCCTTATCTGGGCTTGTGCTTTTCGAAAAATGCCTGAATTTGTCCTGGGCAAGGTCTAGCCGAAATCGCTTTTGCACAAACTACGAGTAACGAAGTTTAAATGGAGCTGCAGTGATGTCTGATGCAGACAAACGTTGTGCAAAACAGACAAAAATTTCTCAGAACAGAGTCTGAAAGGGGACACCGGCAATTTTCCGAAGTTCAGCGGACGACTTCAGCGTTTTGTCAAATTAA